GGTTGTGAATGTTTACAGTTCTACAACATTTGAGTACATTCCAACCGTTAGTTCCGACCAGATAAGTAATTTTATCAAAATGTAACCGGCTCTCCAGATATAAAATGACATCACCCTCCGTGCACCCTTAGCTTCATCACCATAAGTGAACTGGTATGGGGAATCTCCCGAACAAAGCGCAACGTGACACAGAATTGAACGTGGACACTTAAAAAGAATCACAATGATGTAGTATTTGATCCTCAAAAGTTTTGCAGTTTGTCACAAAAATGTGAGTATATGAAAAAAAATCGAATTTAATGACCTTGCTGAGTTTCGTTAATTTTCAGTTTTTTTCGGCAACAAATGAAGCTCATGAACAAACATATCACTCAACGAATTCAGTAACTACCAAAATATTAGTTGTCATACAGAGATGGAATCGTTCATTTAGCAACTTCTGGATATCAAAATATTCGAAATGTAAATCACTACTTTTCCCTGATGTGCACTTTACTAGGAAGGCCAACGTTCATGGTTTGCACGTATCCTGAATCATTTAGCCTCATTGGTACAGATGCATATTACAGTTTAGATGATCACCAATCTGTCATCAGAAATTGCAGTATCTTAGGTCAAAATATGTTTTGAGCAAGCTCTTCGCGAAACCAATGTCAGGGAGACATACCAACTAGACTGCTTCCGCGTATTTCACAGTCTTGGTGTTGCTTACGTTTTACGGGCTTTTAAATACAGGTGGTTAATCTGAAGTCGTGCCGATTTCGTGCATAAACGGATGAACATTTCAGCTAAATTCAAACTCATCCATGATGAGGGAGTATTCCACCATAGTAACCACGTTCCAGTCTGTTAAATAAAACACTAACTCCACAAAACGATCGACCTATTGTTGGATGGTTCTGTTTGACCTTCCTGTTCCTTCGCATCCTTTTTCTAGCCTTCCTAATTGCACCACAATATGTCTTGTTGTGTTAAGTAAATTCAGCAAAAGAGAAACAATCAGCAGAATTCGAGATGTCTGCATTGTAAATTTTTGAATTTGTGTTCTCAAAGTGGAACTGAGGTAATCGCCAAGTGAGACCAGCATATTTATAATCAGATCGTCAACAAAACAAGCAATGTACATCTCTGTTTACATATACAACTAACTGACCGCATTTGTCATCAAATCCGGTTTCCAAACAATTACCACAACGTCTCTGATAGCATTTGATACATAATATGGATAGATATCTGGACTAAGACTTGTCATAAAACATACATAGACGTGTCTGACAAACCGAGGACTGGATAACCACAGGGGGATAACCGGATTCTTTCAAGTGTCTATCGGGGAGATTACATTGATTATGTGTACTAGCGTGAGATGTTCCAGCGTCCTGCTTAGACAACACTTTAAGGAATCTATAATCATAGTGACTGATATTGTCAATAACGGTTTTGTGAACAAGCCGCGTAACGTTTATGGTGATATACTTGCTGCTGAAATTGAAATGTTTGAAAATGTTTCCAACTACGTGCGCGTTCTTGTTCATCACCTTTTTTAATTTCTCCCGGTTCTCAGTGTTTCGGATTTTTGACGTATAGTGATCGCACCCTTCCGAATCTGTGTGATACGAGTTGGCCTATGCGACAGTTCTTTGATCATACAACTTGAAACAAGCTCATGAACACGAAACCTGTCTTCAATTGTCTCATCAAAAAGCAAATAAATAGTATGGTTTAAATGTCAATAAAATCTAAGACTGATAATCAGATAACTAAATTTATTCATTCGGCTGCCAAATTATTATTCTTATCGGCTCCTAATCCTCCTTCAGTCTTGTACTATTTCTACAATATAGTGATTTTGTTTTTTTCGGATCCTTTGTTGGATTTATGTTCCCTTTTTTGCTGTGCATAGTGGTTCCACGGTTTTAGGCACCATTCCAGTGACCCAGATTGTGTTTCACTCTTGCCAGGACGATCGGGCTGTTTGCTCAAATAATCAAGGAAAAGTTAGCCAGTTTGGTTACGCACGGGAACCACGAGGACCATTTCGAGTGCAATCACGGAGCACATTGTGAATACCGGACATTGGGTACAAAATGAAGATGCGTTCAAAATCGCCCACAAAGTACCCCGAAACCCTCCCGCAACGATATCTTGCAACAAAAGAAGTGGAATTAATTATGTTATGGTGATCCAATTCTATTTTCTCAAAAACAGTCTTTCAAAGCCCTCTAGTTACTTTGGCCCAGACCCGAATGCAAACACCACCTCATCCATGACTCTTGGACCTAAACGGGAAGTACGTGACCTCACCTAACCTGCTCCTTCCCTCTCCCCTCTATGCACTTCTTTGTTTCTCCGTTTCTTATTCTAAATCACTGTAAATGACATTTTCGTTTGCGTCTTTCCCGCCCACTCTTCACCAAATCCATTTAATTCAATGAAAGCACAATTACTCTGACATTGGTTGTTGCACTCACTTAGTGAATGTGTAAATAAATGTGTACCTCTATTAACCAAAGAATGTTATCGCTACTCGTGTTGATTTATTGATGTGACGTTGGCAATCTTCAGTACTAGTAGCATTAGTAATAGCAGTAATAATAGTAGTAGTGTTGGTAGTAGTAGTAGTAGTAGTAGTAATAGTAGTGGTAATCAGAAACCAGTTTCATGCGCATAATCTGTTTTTCGAATGCATGTTTACAGAGAAAAAAAAAAGTTGACTAGTCGATAAACTAAAACTATTCTTAGTTAAATATTCCGCAAATTGTTGAAATCGGAAAACTATAACCCGCACTCTGGGCACATGGGCCTTCTGTGTTCTGTCCGAGTGGTTTTATCCACCTTACCATGGTTAGATGGATCTCAATTTCTAACACCATCAATGCTTGACAGTGCCTGCCGAAGAAGGTGCGAACACAGAGTTGTTTGAAGGCAATCCGTTTTTGGTTATGATTACCTATTTGTGTAAAAGCGTCCTAATGCACTGTGGGACACAGAGACAGAGACAGTTTAGTAGGTCATGTGACTATGAATACGGGTCACCTCTGATGCACCTTCAGGCATCTTTTAAAAATGAATTTAATCTGTAGAAAATGAGCCTCTGACTGCAAAAAGGATTCGCTTGCGGCATTAAATCAAAACGGATTGCGTTTCAATGTGGTTGATTGGCGTTCCAACTGCAGACAAATCCTGGATAATTTTCATAAGGTCAATAAAATTGATTCATGCACATAAGAACCGCGGAAATTCAATGAAAAGGAATAAAATTTCAATATATTTGATATTCTTATATAGGTTATATTCACAGATCTCTTCCAAAATCATTGCAGATATAAATGGATGATATATATACATATATATTTCACACTTGTCTGAGGTCGGAGAGTGTGCCAAATAAATCATGGTACATAAATCTGTGTAAAAAAGAAAGACGTTCCATTTTTTTTCATGTGGGCCGAATACTGCTAGGTTGCCCAGGCCTGACACGCAAAGCAGCGGGGCGGTGTAAAAAGCGCAATCCATTGGGGGCCGATGTCCAGTTTATCGGATCATACGCTCTTTGGATGGGGTCAGACATCCAAAACGCCTAATACACCTCAATGCCCAATTGAGCCGGTGACCATTGCCACAACCGGAAAGGCATTGGTATGGTTTTTACACCTCCTCTTGGTTGGTTCTCTGCCTATGATTCTGTTATTTACTGACCAGATATTACTGATCACATAGACTGCAGTATGCACGTGTACAGATGCAGCGAAGTGATCCAGGATACATTGCGAAAACCTATATTGTATTGTATTGTGTTGTATTGTACAGTGTTGTCAATCTGGGGCAGCCAGAGAGATCGAAGTTCAATTATAGGAAAGCCGTCAGTGTACAGTATAAGAACTCCAATAGTCTTTGATAGGGCGGGACGAAGGAGCATGACTTAACAGTACCGTTACTATTATCGCAAGTGTACATTCCTTCAGCGAAGGATGGTAAGCATGTTTGGTCCAATCACAAACATAAGTGACAATCCCTCCCCCCACACACACATACCCCCCGTCACAGTGATTAGAGATATCCTCATTCAACTGAGTCTATATGTAGTTATCATAGCAATAATGCATTTGAACAACTATCTAAAGCTTAAATCCCAGTTTGTAAAATCATTATTTTTGTTTCACATTTAACTCACAGTTACTTGTGAGTAGTGATGTGAATTGATCGGTATTTATTGAAACTAACTGTTCGTCGCACTTCACACAATCCACATTTCTTCCGGCAATTCACACATTCGGAAGCACTAGACTCGAGAATCGTCCTTATCAGATCTCAACAGTAGTGCATATCCATTTGCTACACAACAACCGCACAACTGAGATTCGAAGAAGTTATATGGCATTTAGAAAACGACCGAAAAAGGAATCAGAAGGTAGATTCACTTTTGTGGGTTTCAAACACAAACCCAAAGACAATAAGCTTATAGTAAAGGGCTGTTGAACACCCTCACCACTCCCACTAAAACCTCGAGTTCATGTAACCCACAAAATTGCGCCTGCCGTGTCAAAATAGAAAACTGGTAGCTGGCTCACAGTTGACAGGTAAAAAAGCGGTCCAGAGAGATTTTGTACAATTTTATAGTCCCTATCATTAATTTTCACCCAAGAACACACGTGTTATTGTCCCCAAATGATTGATAATCTGATCATTAGATGTGTAGATGTGCTCAAAGAATGCTGATTTAGACAGCTGATACTCACAGCGCACCTCATCTTTTCAATGATTTCGGCTATTCTTTGTGCTATATTCCCAATTAAGTCCGACATTTTGTCAAGAAGATCAAGAAGAAAAAACATTGTTTGTAATTCGTACGCTGATGCTGGCTACAATTGTAAACAAAATTACGTATTTCAAAAATATCTTACAAACATTTTCCACCGGATTGTGTGTAAAAGCATGAGTGTTCGAATCGGNNTTCAACTATTCATAAATATATATTCATGCAACTTCTTCCACTTTTACTAATCCTCGACAATTTCCTCGGTTTCGTTGTCCATCGGCAAGACAGAAGCGGGATTAAGCAGATTTTCGAATGGTCCGGTAGGAGTAATCACGGTGGGTGGTGTTGTTGTTGGGTGTGGTTGAGTATTGAATCGATCTGCACCGTGTTCCATTTTTTCCGCTTTTCTTCGGCTCTGCCACTGCACAGTATCCAGGTGAGGCTGTTCCGATTCGTGTTTCTGCTGTTCTGGTTGCCTTGAATGATTGTGACCTGATTGTGAAACTTCGTTGTCCGTTGTGGCGTTCGGATAAGATGTCGCTTCAGATGGAAATGTGAAATACTGGTTTACTATTTCATACATGACCTCAATCGGAGGTAGCTGTCGCTTCTGAATCACCGGTGGAAGTTCGGTCTCACCCAAGCGAATTTCTGGGTCATAGTTCATTGGTGGCTCACTCCCATCTTGAATAAGGTTTACAGGAACTGCCAAAGTCCATTGCAAATGAACCATCAGGATGAGAACACTTATTAAAGTATGGTGCCACATCTCGTAGGACTTGATCCAGGTGATTTTCAGTACGGTGACCTAAAATTGTGAGGAAATTATTCTTTATAAATAGATCGGTAATGTGATAGAGCCGACTGCATAGTTATCCTAGAAAATAGATGTCAATTCCGTGTAGGGTAATGCTCGATTCATATTCACTATAAATGAATCCGACCAAGCTATTCTTTTCGGGAACAACCAACCATCGGGTCTATTTCATTTCGAACGAAGTGAGAAAAGGCTTTTGGTATGGGCAAGATAAAGCAATTCAATTTTATTCTAGCTTAATGGAGTAAATTTAACTGACTGTTGAGGCACCTCTCCTGATCAGAAAGCAAAAGAATACTCCATGTGACATTTGGAGGTAAATTTTGCACTAAAACCGTCCGCGCTCAAAGCGGTGCAGTTCATCGAATCGGCAGCATCGACTGCCATACTCTCCGGCATTCAGACTTAGTACCCCGCGGTCTCAACATCCTCTCGTGCTGAGCGAGCTAGACCAGTAGGTTGTGCTTTGCATCTTCTCCCCACTATTATTATCCGTTCTCGTTATAATATATCACTGCAGCCGATCCTAGTCACGCTTTTATACTACTTAAAACACCGACATAGCCCAAGTGTGTCTCGTAAAATGATGAATCAAATTGCAACATTGAAAAATGAAAAGAATCCACGAATGTTCCACCATAACAAGTTAGTGATGCGATTATCGTTTCAAATAATTTCATACAAATGATCTCCTTATAGATGTTTTAAAAGGAGGCGATTAATTGAACATGGAGGATTATGGAAGCTCTTTTTTCGGGATTGAAAAAGATTTAAGTTTGAGAGTAAATCCCAGGGGAGAGTAACACCTAATAATTATTGATTGATTGTCAATTATAGCTGGTTCCCAAATTCCAGTACGCTCGTGTACATATACAGCAAAACAATCCTTAATACATTCTGCTGATCTTTTTTGGCTTGTTTATTCGAATTCGTTAAGGGAAAACTGTGCTGATGGTTTGAACCTCGAATTCACAACCTGGAATTCAATGGGATGTTACTGTCCAACTTCATTAAACTGCAAGATATTGTAGAGAAATGATAAACCCACAGGTGTCACGTAACAAAATCAGCTTTAAATTAAAATGAATAACATAACAATGGCTTAATGGAGTGTCTGGATCTGAACACTGTCGCCCCCCCCCCTCCAGACAGCACCTGATTTAATAGAGTTCGACTATACAGCTGCATGTTAAATAAAATATAACGGCACAAATTTATTAGTAACGTGATCTATCGGTTGGAGTGCGAGCCTGTTCTATACAAAAATCCGACTCACTTGAGATCGCTTTTAAGCATACTCTAACGGTTTAACATTCCTTCCTTTTATATAGACAATGCGGTTAATAATCCGGGTCAAATGTTAACCCGCATTCACACGCAATCACCTTCTCGTCTGAACTAACCCTGGTAATCTAACGGTCCGTCAATTCACCCATCCCTCCATCTGTCCGTTCGTCCGTCCACCCGTCCACCATGTTTCTAACGGTTGTCAAGCAACATGAATAACAAAACATTGGAATACAAAAACCAGGATCCTCCTGTTCGACTTTGATGTGAGATAAAACTCCTTGGCAGATCACACCAAACATTGTTATGCGGGTTGAGGAGTATGTTAACTGTTTGACCCAATGATTAATTCAGCGTAAAATTTATTTTAACACATGGAATATTTTGGTCACTCTTATCGAACAGCTAATAGTGACACTGTTTAAACAACGCAAAAGCGGACACAAAAGTCCAATTGTTGATAATAAATACAAAAATCAAGCAATTAATTTTTCTACAGAAAAGCAACAGGCTTGTGATAAGATGCTGTTAATTATGGATACGGAGAAGAATCAAAGAACGAAAGTGTAAACCAGTTTCAGAAACCTGTTTTATGGCTAGATATGGCTTGATCATGCAGATCCCTGTACCACTCAACGGAACGGAACTCCTAGGTGAACCTGCACCTTCAGTGATACTATTCTTAAACCGGCCCAATGATACTTTTGCAAGAGATTAGGTGGTCGGTTCAAGGTAAGTAGTTGCTTTTATCACCCCAAGGCGCTATATTTCCGGCATTCTGCTCAATAAAGTATTCCTTCGATGAGTAGTTCTGAAACGTAACTGAGCCATTCTTCACTGGGATCTTAGTTAAATCACCAAATAATCACTAAAGCCAAAAACTCATTATGGACTGATCGTAGCAGTTCTTTGTGAACCAGCAGCTGTGGACCTTGTCGGCAGCAAAACATCACTTATAAGATAATGAGGCAGAACAAATTTGGCGAATGTTAAACCCATTGAATCTCAACAATCGGATAATGAAGAGGTCAAGTGAAACAGACAAGCATCGGTTGTAGAGCCTTGTAAAGAAATTCTATGCATTTGGGAACAGAATATCCATTATATCCTGTTTGTAAGTTTGGATAGGACGACACCGTAAATATTATCTTTATGACTGAAATTTTGTATTCCAAATTATACAACTTGACAATAAGAGCTGGTAAATGCCTTCGATAGCGTTTATGAGTATATTGGACACTATCGTCTTAGTTCGTGGCTCAGAAGCTTAAATCCAACTCAGTCATGACATAGTTTCTGAAGAAATGTCCAAGGGGCGACTTCTACAATTGGAGTATTTTGGAGAAGCTGAAACACTAGAAAAGCAACAGGGACAATGTGATCTAAAGGCCTTATAAAGGGGTTATAATCTTTATTAACGGAATACATCACCAAGATGAACGAAAAACTCGGAGGCAATAACAAGTTTATATCGCACAACGGAGAGAAAGATAAAACTTCTAATCAATTGTAGAGAATACATTAGGCCATGAGACAACTTAAACACAATGTTATAATCGCTTCGTTCATCTCTAAAACTCGGGCCATTTGGGATCACAATGCCAGAATTGACCGCGACCAGTCAGGAGATAAATCGCCAGATTCGGTTTGCGAGACTCCTTCGGTTCTGTCAAGTTCGTCACACCCATCAATGTAGCCAATGAACCAATGCTTTCAATGAATGTTTTCTCACTATTTACCAATTGATCACTTCTGCAGACCGTCGAATTTGTCCGAAATCAGCAAGAAACTCCGGAGAAATGTGTTGGACTAGCGGTAAATGAATTCAAGTGAATTCTTCAGTTATGCAAACACATCATACTTTTCCGTTTCATGGCACCACGGGACAGATAGAAAGATGAATTAGCCATGGGTTTGGCATTAGATCCAATATTATCAAAGACCTCCATGGCCAAATGAAAAAAACGGAACATTTTCAAAACCCACAAAAAAAGCCACGTTACACAACCGATATGGCATCACATTTGTTTAAAATGTAAGCAAGGATGCTGGCATTCTGTTGGGGAACTTCAGTGCACCTCGTCCCTGGCGCATTCTTTCACTGGCTGCTCTACAATCCATTGTTGTGACAACTAACCGGACTGAAGTATTTTTGTCATTATTAAGGCCTGTGTTTACCGGTAAACGAGATTCNGCCTGTTCTATACAAAAATCCGACTCACTTGAGATCGCTTTTAAGCATACCCTAACTGAAGGATTTTTGTCCTTATTAAGGCCTGTGTTTACCGGTAAACGAGATTCGAATTACTCCTATTTATCACTCTTATTAATTTAACCCACGAACCGATTCACCTACACTTAATTCGCTGGGATTTCAAAATTTGCACAAAAACAGAACCGGGTCGGGTGGCAAGTTGCCCTTAATTGCATCCCTCCGTCCAAAATGTCCGTCCCATCAATACTACTACTGCGAATATACGTTCCTTGTTCACGAAAATCTAGGATTTATCACCTGTTCTCCTTTCTCAGATTCATGTTTATCCTTGTGAAATTTGAGTACAACAATCTTGGTTGAAAATGCATGTTGCTCTTGCGTTGGTGGATTTAACTTGTATCGGCAGGACAGAGTTTCCTATGATAATAAAATCGGCGTTGGTGTGGTTACCTACATCAACACTTCGTTGTGTGGCAAGTCAGGTGTTACCTACTCGTACTCCAGTAACGGTACTGATTGTCCATCTCTTCAGTGACACCCTAAATTCTACCTACATAGAATTACCTTCATAAAAAACCTATTCATTGCTCAGTTTTATACACAAAACACTATCCTGAATTTATTGGACTCATTTTACTTTTTGTTTTCCCACTGTTAGAGAAAAGCCTGCTTTTTGTGTGATTTTAACCATGTCTCAACCCGGCCTCGCACTGTTTTTGATCTGACTGATTTATGCGTTTTACTGACTAGAGGCAACTTCTTTTTAGTCAGAATTATTACAAATTACCCCGAATTTTCCTCCTTTGATCTACTTGCATCCAACTAGACTAGTGATCATGGTTTAATTTATCTAAGGCCTAAGATATATATTCCCGTTCCATCTTTCATTTTTTATGTAAAATAACCAAATCAAAATCCATCTTCGTAACACACCACATATGTATTCGTCTCCTTCAAAGAACCCTATTCCATGCAGCTTCGCGGTTTTTTCTTTGAGTTTTCATTGAACAACAATGTTATTGTTTTTGTCAATATAATCAATTCCATCTCTGACATCTGTTATCAATTGTAAACCCTCTCCAATGGTCGTGTGGCCCCTTCGAAACTCAAAACATTAAGGAAACACAAGGAACACTTCTATAAATCCCAGAGCACGTCAATGGTCAGATAACTTTTCGCGTTCCTTCCTCCTTCTTGAAGTGGAATCATTTGGTTGTTCCAAGCACTTAATATCTTGGCTCGTTGACTACTTCACAAACAGAACTCAGCATACTCGGCTGGATACGAAAACATCCAAATCGCTCGAGAACAATCCGGGAGTGCTCGAGAGAGCTGTAATTTCTCTGTTCTTGTTTTCCGCCTACATTAGTGACCTTCCAACGAGTTCCTTAGCCTAATTATTTGAATACGTTGACGGAGTAGCCCTTTGCCAAGACATTTCTCTGCCTGA